TCCAGCCGCGGAGGCAACCCCAGTCCTTCTCAGGACTCTGGTGTGGCAGAGGATTTGCTGGGACTTAGCATCTGATCGACGTTCTGCCCAGCTGGGGTCAGAGGGTTGGCCGTGCCTCCTTGCACCCTACAGTGACTGCAGTGACCAGCCCAAATTCCTGCTTGGAAGGCCAGCTTAGCTTCAGATTTGATATCATCTGTTCATTCACCGATGTCTTGGGCTCTGGAGTGCCAGCTGGGGGGCAAGACCGAGGGCAGGCTGGGCAGGTCTGTGAGCCCTACCTCGGAACATGATGCCTGGAGCCAGGGCCCAAGTGACCCACGCCCCAGTCCATGCTGTGGAGCCTGGCATGACTTGGGTTTAGACTTTGTGCTCAGCAGGGCAGACAGGCAGTCAGCCCATTGCTAGGCCCTTGTCTGTCCCCTGTGGCCTCTTTGGTGAGTCAGAGAGGTGTGGGGAGCCTGCCCATGTCCCACTTTCTCCTGTGTCTACAGGAGGCCCCCGTCTTGCCCAATGGCTCCTACGATGGCAGCTCCCTGGTCAAGTCTTCAGGGAAGCTCATGCTGCTACAGAAGATGCTCAAGAAACTGCGAGATGAGGGGCACCGTGTGCTGATCTTCTCCCAGGTGAGCCACCCCCATGTGGCTGGCTCGTGGTCCCCCCACCTAGCCCAGCCCTAGCTCCACACCCATAGACAGCATCCTGCCCTGATGGTGGATGGTGCAACCTTTCTGGCACTCTCTCAGGGCCTGATGCCCTTCTCATGTGGGTCGTGGGTCATTCCCTGTGCCCTGGCTTGTCATAGCCAAGGAGCTGGCTGAGTGCCAAGCTCAAGGAGCTCAGGGCACGTTTGCTGTGAAGACCAGTGTCCCCCACACCACTTCTGTCCTGCATGTCCAGGCTGTATGATAACCCCCTCCCCATTGCAGCCTGGTTTCTCATTAAGCTGGACCCCTGGGGCTGGTTTGGGGGGAGCACTGTGGTGAGGCCAGCTCTAGGAGCACCTCTGTCCACTTGATCCTGCAGTCCCACTGGTAGCACTGCTGTTTGGGCAGTTGGAGGCAGGCTGCTCAGCCGCAGGGGGTTGTTCATTTGTCCTCCATCCCTCTGTTTGCATTTGTCATATGTGAGCCTCTGTGCTAGGCATGTGGGGACAGAGATGAATTACCTAGTCCCTCTCCTCGAGCTGCTCAGTCTAGTGTGGGAGACAGCTCAAGAGACAGTCACCCGCTCTGCTCAGCTCTGTGGGAGGCCACAGTGATGGCCTGGTTGGGTCCTGCAAGGGGCTAAAAAACGCTCTCCTGTGGTGAGAGTGAGCTGGGCCCACTGCCTGGGTACAGCTGTTCTGTGCACAAAAGTCGGCTGAAAACAGCTGATACCAGCAGCCTGAGTGTGTCCTGGGCCTGCAGCCTGCTGGAGAAGACCAGGGGAGCAGACCACGCTCGTGACCAGCAGTGGAACCAAGCAGTGGGCTGGCTTGGAGACAGATCGTAATCCCCTCAGTACCACTGACCACATAAAACATGAGTCTGGGCTGAGGCCTTGAGAAGCCACATAGAGGGACCTGCACAACTGCTAGAAATATGCACAGAGGGAAAGCAACTGAAACAGTCCTCCCATCCAAACTGAGCTGACAAACCAAATTCCAAAACTCGTGACAGAACTGAATGCTACGACATCCCGCAAAACAGGAGGTAGAATCCAAACCAAAAGAATAGCCTGGAAAAACATGTTTAGGATCCTTGAAAATAATGAAGTAACTAACACTCATAAATAAAGAAGAAATTAAGTAAGCAAAAGCAAGAGGTCATGAAACAAATAGATCAATCTGCATAGGACTTTAGTCATCGAAATCGGACATTTCAACAGACCGGATGAGCTCTCAACGGCATCGAAGAGAACATTGATGAATTGGAACCTGGAACTGAGGAATTTCCCCAGAACGCCACATAGAAAGATAATGATGAAAATGAGAACGAGCAGGGAGGATACCTCAGGAGGCTCCCAACAATCATCTAATAGGAATTCAGAAGAAAGAAAAGGGGGGATGGTGAAAAGCAGGATTGGATGAGTTTGCAGAATTGGGGAAAGACATGAGATCTCAGATCTGAAGTGCACTCTGAGGTACCAAGCAAGACGAAGAGAAACAAACTAACCCCTAGAGACATGGCAGGGAAGCAGTGGCACTTCTGACCTTGTACCTACAGAAGAAAGACTGTCAGACTGTCCCCCGACTTCTCAAGAGCAACAACAGGTGGCAGAGACAATGGCAAAGTCTCCAATACACGGAGGGAAAATGTCTACCGATAGTTTTACATCCAGCTAAACTATCTCTCAAGAATTAAGGGCAACAGAGGCGTATGGGAGCTCTGAAGGGACAGCCTTTCTCTACTGGGGAGGAGTGCAGTCAGGGAAGACATCACAGAGGAGGTGATATTGAGTTCTCTAGGCAGGAAGGGGTGAGTGTTCCAGGAAGAGTCACGAATGACTGGGGGGATGAAGGAAGCGTTGGTCCTGCAGAGCCTCGAATGCAGGGCATGGAGCCGGCACGTAACTGTGAGGTGTGAGCAGGGGAGGCTCTGGCTCAGAGCCCTGTTTTGGGCAGATGGCTGTGGAGCTGGTGAGAAGGGGATTAGGTTGGAGGCTGTGTTCTCCTCCACAGAGTCCTGCCTCAGGCCTGCTGGGGTCTCCCCAATCAGCAGTCTGCTCTCTCCTCTCCCACCTGTGGTGGGGTCCCTGCCCACAGCCCCCTGGGGCTCTTTGCTCTACGGCAGCCCCTCACACACCCCTCTCCCCTGCAGATGACCAAGATGCTGGACCTCCTGGAGGACTTCCTGGAGTATGAAGGCTACAAGTATGAGCGGATCGACGGTGGCATCACTGGGGGCCTCCGACAAGAGGCCATCGACAGATTCAACGGTACTCCCACCCTGCCCAGGGGCTCTGTGGGACCCCATTCCAGTCTTTTCTCCTAGGCCAGGTTCTTAGTCCACCACCCAACTGATGTTTGATGGGCTACCCTCGAACGGCTGGAGAAAGCAGACCACACAGCTTTCCCTTAGTTCTAAATGCTGAAATGATTCATTCCATAGGACCTTCCAGGTCCGCTGGTGTTCTCATGGGCCCAGTAGATAACGCCTGTTCTGGACAGAGTTAGAAATAGACAAGGAAAAAGGCGGATGGAGAGGAAAACATCACCTTTGCCACCAAGGGAAACTGATGCTGGGGGTCTGAATAACGCCTGTTCTGGACAGAGTTAGAAATAGACAAGGAAAAAGGCGGATGGAGAGGAAAACGTCACCTTTGCCACCAAGGGAAGCTGATGCTGGGGGTCTGGCTGGTGGCTACTAGTATGCCTCTAATATTGACACTGGATAAGTTCCCTATTACAAGTGGTGCTGGACAGAGCTTGCCACTGAAGTACAGGGTGGCAGGGGGCACAGAACCAAGCATGCTCCCTGTGGCCGCTTCCAGGAGCCAGGAGAGAGGAGGGCTAGGGCCGCACAGGCCTGGTTTCTTCTTCTCCCAAGCTCACCGACTGCTCAGTCTTCCTGCCTGCCAGGGAAGGCGAGGTGAGGGTGGAGAGGCCAGGAGGGTCTTTCTGGGGCAGCTCCCTCCTTAGTGAGGGAAACCTCTGGAGTGGGGAACTGCTGAATCGGTGTGGCCTTCTTAGTGGCAAGTGTGTATCCAGTAGCGAAGAGCTGTTTCCCTGGGGCTTGTGGCTGTTTCCTGGCCTCCACCCTTCGTGAAGGGCTGGGCCCCACTGCACAATGCCCAGAGCAGCGACTCTCACCCATGCGTGCCAAAGACGGGGGGTAAAGTGAGCACAGGGCTCCAGGATCTAGATGTGGCCTGGCTGCACGTGGAAGCAGGAGAGTCTGAAGCCCTGGGCGGCCGGGGACCTGCTGGCAGCTCTCGTGCTTGCTGTGGTCAGTCCCAGGTCACTTAACAAAGGGCCTTGATGGGCCTGAGAACCAGCCATCCTGTGACAGTCAGGATTGCCTAGCGGGGCAGGACCCCTGGGCCCTGTAGCTGTGCCCCTGAGCATTCCCGGGGCTGCCCTGACAGCAGCAGCAGGCTGGGAACGCGGGGGCGGCGGGGGAGGAGGACTGAGCTCTGCAGGCCTCCCTGGCTGACCCTCACTATGGGCTCTGCCTGTATTGGCTGGCCATTTGCACTTTGGTCTTTGCCTGTCTGAGATTTGAAAATCGACTTGCTTCTCATTCTGCTTGCGTCTCTTGGGCAGGGCTCAGAGCACCGCTTGGGGGTGAAGTGGACGCAGGTGGGGTTCCTCTGGCTCACCTGAGTGCAGGTGTGGCTGCCCATCTGTGATGGGGTCACTAGCCTTGTCCTGCTTCTCTGCCAGGGACCTGTTGCTGCAGTGTCCATCTTGCAGTCTCCCCTCCTGCCCTCTGGTCTGCCACCTACTTGTCCCCTCACCCAAGTGTGCCCCCCACTCACTCCCCCACCTGGTGGCCTCTCTTCCTCAGCCCCTGGGGCCCAGCAGTTCTGCTTCCTCCTCTCAACCCGGGCGGGCGGCCTGGGCATCAACCTGGCCACGGCGGACACGGTCATCATCTATGACTCAGACTGGAACCCGCACAATGACATCCAGGTCTGTGGCCGTCCTGCCGGCACCCTCTCAGCAGGTCCCTCGCCCTTGGCCTTGTGTGGGACTTCCCCAATCCTTCGTGCCCTCCTGGCTCTGTCCCCCTCACCTCCTCAGTTCTGTGGGCCTCCCTCCCCTGCGGAGGG